TTTCTCCCAAACTTCCCCCAGTCCTTCCACTGTGCCCTCTGGAAAGCCTATAGGCAACAAATTTCCCTTTATTGTAAATCTTTTCCTTTCCCATTCCTTCCATCTTCTAGCGATCACTGAAACCCGACTCCCCACTGATGATACAGCCTCCCTGGCCACCCTTTCCAGTACTTGTACCTTCATTCATTCTCCTCAGCTTACTAGTTGAGGCAGGAGGGAGTTGGAATACTCTTTGCTCCCCATTTCCACTTCCAGGTTCTCCCCCTTCCTTTATCACTCAGTAATCTTTCTCCACTTGAGGTCCATGCTTTTTATATCTACCACCCAATCAAAATCTTGGTAGTTATTATTTACAGATCCCTAGGTCACTCCCCTTCCTTCCTTAATGAATTCAACACTGGACTCACAATTTTTTTTTCCCTCTCCAACCGCTCTCATACTAGGGGACTTCAACACTCAAATACCGTAACCACTCAGTTCCTCAGCCTACTCAGTTAGCTAGCTACTCCCCCACCCCACCTCAGCCATTCACAAAGATGATCACACCCTAGATCTTGCTAACATTCACAATTATCCCACCTTGATGTTCAGGAATTCTGAAATCCCTTTTCTGACCCTAATCTATTGGTTTTCACCATTCCCTCAGCCTTCCCTTACAAAACCCTGTGGATGAAGGCCATACCATAACCTCTAATTCCCTGATCCCTTAATTTTCTCCCAGGCCATCTCTTCTACCATAACTACTCTCTTATATTTCTCTTCTTGACCCCTTGGTGAACCAATGTGACTCTATACTCCCCACGTCCTGTGAATCCTTTGCCCCCTTATCATCCCGCCAATTATACCCATGAAAACCTCAGCCTTGGATCATTCCCACCATCTGCTGCTGCCTTTACTCCAACACATATGCTGCTAAATCAAGATGGATAAAAATCATGAAACCATTCTGACAATTCTGACAAATTTATGTTACACAATGTCAACTGGGCCCTCACTGCTGCTAGGTAATCTTACTATAACTCCCATATCATCTCACTATCTCATTCTTCACAGCAGCTCTTCCAAACCTTTCCATTCCTCCTCCAACCTTCCATGGTTCCCCCTAACCCACTCTTTCAGCAGGTGATGGATTTAGGTTGCAGAATAAGACATATATATATTATTTAATATAGCCATTAAGGGAATTTGTTTTGCTTAACTTTGCATATTTGTTACAAGAAATCCAATTTTTTAATTTTATATTCCAGTAGGGTGGAAAGGAGGGATTTCTGTTAATTTTTTTTTTTAAATACAGGTGGAGGAATTGCTATGAATGTCAAAGTGACAGTAATCTTTAAATGTTTATCATGTTCAAAGAAAACACCTAATATACTGCATATATCTTGTATTTCATAATTGTTTGCATGTTTTCTCCCCCCATTAGAATGTGAGCTCCTTGAGGGCAGGGACTTTTTCCCCTTTCTTTGTATCTCCAGCACTTAGCACAATATTTGGCACATACTAAGTGCTTAATAATCATGTTCTTGAACAGGGTACCTTCTCTCTTCCCCCCCCTTTGCAGCTTCCCTTTGTGTGTTGTCTTCATTAGTTCCTTGAGGTCAGGGGCTGTATTTGTATTTCTGTATTCCCAGTGCTGGTCATGTGGCAAGATCAAGGGATGGCAGGTAGACAACCAGAGTGCTCCACTGGTACTCTCCTCACCTGAAAAGAGAGTTGCACAGGATAGGTAGGCATGAATGGATTGTAATCTGTATCATTGGTGGGAGCTCCTAATTGATGAGATGACAGATCCAGTTGAGTATTTAAAGTGGTGAGGCCATCTCTACCCTATGATGATAGTGGTCACCTCAACCCAACATGGTTCTTGTTTAATAACTTGTCAGTTTTTCAGTGAACATTTATTAAGTGCCTACTATGTGCCAAGCACTATCCTAAGCAATGAGGATACAAAAAGAGACAAAACAGTCCCCCCCCTCAAGGAGCTTACAATCTAATGAGGGAGACCACGAGCAAACAAATATGTACAACTAAACTATATGCAGGATAAATAGGAAATGATAGATGGAAGGCACTACAATTAAGAAGGATTGATAAAGGCTTCCTGTAAAAGATGGCATTTTATTGGGACTTAAAGGAAGCCAGGGAGATCAATAGGTGCAGTTGAGGAGGGAGAATGTTCCAGACATGGGAAACAGCCAGAGAAAGTGCTTAGATATAGTATCTTGTTCATGGAAGAGCCAGGAGGCCAAGTGTCACTGCATTGAAGAGTACTTGCTGGAGAGCAAGATGTAAGAAGACTTGAAAAGTAAGAAGTGGTTAGGTTAGGAAGGTTTTGAATGCCGAACAGGATTTTATGTGTGATACTGGAGATAATGGAAAGCCCCTGGAGTTTCCTGAGTATGGAGAGTGACATGATCAGAACTTCCCCTTAGGAAAATCACTTTGGCAGCTGAATGGAGGATGGACTGGAGTAGGGAGAGACTCTAAACAGGCAGACCCACTAGCAGATCCACTAGTCCAAGTATGAAGTATGAGTAGGGGAGTATCAGAGGAGGGGAAAGATGCTTATTTGAGATATGTTGCAAAGATATTGTCAATAGAACGTAAAATTCTTGGAAGGCAAAGACTTTCATTTTTCTCTTCAAATACACTGTGCCTACGCATAGGAGGAGCCTGATAAATGTTTGTTGAATTGAATAGACTCATACTTGAAACAACTAGAAAAATGGATAGATAGGATCAAAGATTTAGAGCTGTAAGGAAATCTAACTCTATTACTTAGGAAACGAGTGACTCACCAAGGATGAAATAGCTAGTAAATGCTTTAGGCATTATCTTCCTGACTCCAGGCCCAACCCACTATCCATTGCTCCACCTAGTTGCCTCTACTGAGTACCCCTGAGTTTGGTAGAGGATACCGAAGGATGTAAAAACACTTCTTCACTTAAGAGTTTACGGACTGGTTAGAGACAACAAACCAACATGCTTGAAATCATGAATAATAGTAAATTGAGAGTGCTATTTAGGCAGGATATTGTACTGGGTGTTAGAGTTACTTAAACCTTTCTATGTGTGCTGTCTCTTAGAATATAGGATACTTGAGGGCAAGGTCCGTCTTGCTTTTTATATTTGTATCCCAGGCATTTAGCACTGTCCCTGGCACATACTAAGCTCTTTAAACCATGCTTTTTCATTTATTCATTAGCTGAAGTAGACTGAGAAGTTATGACTCCTTGTCTTAATATCTCTCTCTCTCACTCTCTCTCTCTCTTTTTCTCTCTCTCTCTCTCTCACACACACACAGAGTAGAGTTCTGCACTTAACCCAGAAAAGGTACCATTAGCAACTTTATACAGTGTTTCAGTGACCTTTTCTTAGAGGCCTAAGATTTAGGTCGTATTTCCTTACCCATTCCATTTTTTTTTTTAAACTTTTTCTTTTAAATGGTCACAAAAGCCACTGGTGGACAGAATGAAGTCATTTCTTCTCAAGTTCCAGGCTCTGGGGCTGCTCATCCTTCAGGGTTGGATGGTTGATTCATGAAGAACACTCCTGGAGAGTTCACTAAGCTAACTTCTTAGTATGGAAAATTGGTTTTGAGATGTGTCCCACAACTAGAAACTCACTAATGATCCCCCCCCAAAAAAATGAGAAAAAAAAAGTCCAAGGTTCCCTCCTACTTACTATTTACAGTAAGAAAATTTTGCTCAAACATTTTTCTGATGGAGGTGGGATAGAACCCCTAAAAGGAAAAGACCATGTCTTTGGGACCCCAAAAAAGAAAATCCCTGAATTATTCCTAAATCTCTGTGTTTGCCTGAGGCTGTAATCCCCTCAACTGGCCTTTCATTGTGGCTATGCCCAATCTCCCAATTCTTTCCGTTACATCCCAATTGCCCCAGCCACTTCCCACCCTTAGTCCTATCTAGGCTCCCTTCTCCCTTGGCCAAGTGGTCCAGGTCCCTGGCTGATCCCTGAGCCAGTTTACTGGCTACTCTCATCCAGATCCTCCTTAGACCCCCTCCTCCAGTCACCCCAGACTACTTGACGGCTCCTGGAACCCTCCCACAGTCTTTCTGAATATAAGATTCATCTTTTCTCCATTAAGGTGCTCAGATTCTTAAGATCTGGCTTGCTTGCATTAGTGATTAAAGTCTAGCCAAGGCTCAGATTCTTATAATTTAGCCAATAGCTCACAGATCTTCAGATTCCTTAAGAGTCTGGCCAGTACTGTGGATCTTTAATAAACCTTGTCTTTGGCTGAAAGAAGGCTTGGGTCGAATTCATTTGGGCAGGACCCGCCTGTGTATTTGGGGTCCCAGCACCTCTAAACATCAACATTTCCTTTTCTAATACTTTGATGAACGCTGTCCATTATACTCTCATTCCCCTTCCCCTCTTTCTCTGTCTCTATCTCTTTCTGCCTCTCTGTCTTTGTCTCTGTCTGTCTGCTAGGGACTTGTCCATGACCTCCTGGAAATCCACTAAATGCACCAGTGCAATCTACTCGTTCTTTTATATTCCATGGATACCACTGTAACACACAGGCTATTTTATTGACAGCTCTCACTACCTGACTGAGCCACCTCCTTTTCTGGGATGCACGTCCTTGACGACGTTTTTACGCCACTTCTCTGCGCCCAAGTCCTCTCTAACATGCTGTATGCTTATTAAATCCATCATGGATTGAGAGACATTCTTGAAAATCCTAAGCCAAATTCTCAACTCCTTCACTCAAGCAGTATAACAATTATATGGCAAAGAAATATCATAGCCAACAACTGCAAACCACAGGGAAAACGCTCTAAGGATCCGCAAATTATCTTACAAGCGAGAGTATGGCAAGAGGCTTAAGGAGAAGCTGACGAAACGCAACCTGCGCACTCCAATAGGATTGAATACAATGAGCCCTGCCGGCTCTCCCCGCCCTAGGGGCGGGCTCAGGCAGCACCTCCCCCATGGCTCGCCTTTCAAATCTCCTCCCCTCAGTGCGTCCTCCCTCCTTTCGCTTTCGTTTCCGCCGCTTCTCTTTCCTTTCCTGCCGGCGTCTCTTCGCCTCTAGCCACTCCAGTCTACCTCCCTCGAACCCAACACATCTCTACATCTCCTCGCCTTCTCCCACTCCCTGTTTTGGCTGTGACCCGAGCTATTAACCTCTTTTGCTCGGAGCATGGACGACGACGACTGCGATTCGACTTGGGAAGAGGAAGAAGAGGAAGAAGATCAGGAAAAAGAGAAGGATGAGAGGAAAACCAGAGAGGAAGCGAAGCCGAGGCAACAGCAGCGCGGGAACCAAGCTTTCCAGGTAAAGCTAGGAAATGGCCAGGGCCTGCGGAGGGCGGGCGACTCTAGGAGCTTGCACTTTGCACAGAGGGCGTGGGTCTGGGAGGAATCCAGAGAGGAAGCGAGCAAGGGAGCCCTTCTATTCCTGTTGTCGTCCCCATCCCCAGCTTTGCCCCCAAACCTTCCCAAGCCCCAACGCTGCCCCCTCCCCCGCTTCCGCCGCCAGCCTGCCTTTATCTTTTGGCCCTTGAGTGGGGTAGGCTATATTAGATGGAGGCTGCACCCTCCTCGATCAGACAGCACTCATTTGGGGGCACTTGCCGCTGATGTACAAGTGCCTTTTCTTTAAGATGCTCTGTCGACCCGGTACCCCCTACCCCTCAGCCCTCAGCCTCTGGAGAGTCGGAGGCGGCTACTGGAACAGCCATGGGCTACTCCCAATGTACGCGCCGCCCCCACCCCAACTCCTCCCACCGCGAAAGCCCTGACACTGGGCTGTTGGACTTTTCAGGTCTTGCAAGTGAAGTTAACTTTGCCTGGACAGTTTGGGGCTTTTTGGTGATGGGCTTTCCTCAATGAATTTGTGGGGTGAGGGTACCTAGGATGAGGTCTGCATTGTCTTAAAAAAAAATAATATGTGTGTGCATATGTGTGCGTGCTCACATGCTTGGGAGACACAGAAACACAGAGACAGCAAGACAGTGAATATTGTGAATGTTTTAAGACTTCTACTTTGCCACAAAGTAGCTGTGTGACCTTGAGAATGTGACTGATCCGAAATCTGAAAGACCAGTAGCCTTTTTTTTTTTAATCCCAGTCCTCATCCTCTGTAGCCCTTGACACTGTTGATGTGTCAATGCTCTTTCTTCCCTTGGCATTTACTTCCGTAGCTTCAACTATACCATCTCTAAACAGATGACCCAAATCTGTATCCTCAGTCTTGACCTCTTTTCTAAGCTCCAGATCCAAATCTCAAACTTCCCCCAAGACCCCCACCAGTGACCTACTGGCTCAGACTCAAAATGCCTTAAACATCTCATTTTGTCCCTCAAACCTATTCCAGCTTTCAGCATCCAATTTCTGTAGGCACTGCCATTCACTCAGGCTTCCATGTTTGAAACCTTGGGTTTATCTTCAGCTCTTCCCTTTCTTACATCTCATATTCAGTCAGTTCTCAGGTCTTGACAATTCCAGCTCCCTTATTACCCACCCCACCCCCAATACAAGCCTATACGATTGATTGCATCCTTCAATCCATCTTTCATAGTGATGCCTGAATAATCTTTTCATTCACAGATCTACTTATATCTTTCCCATTAAGGAATATTCCAGTATCTTACTTTTGACTGTCAAGCAAAGTTTAGAATCTTTTGCCTGTCCTTCCAAGCCCTTCACAATCTGGTGCCATTTTACCTTTGTTGCCTTTTTTCATGTTACTGTCTTCCACGCATCATTCATTCACTCCATAAAAATCTTCCCTCATCTCCCTTAACCTCGTTTAATTTCTCCTCTTTGGGCCTCACCTAACAATTTTTACCCCTCAGGCACATTTAACATGTAATGTTGCACATTATGGTTATCTTTATTGGTATCTGATTCTACTGGAAAACTTTGAGAACAGGGACAATGTCTTATATAAACTTTGTGTCTCCTACAGAGCTTAGCACAGAGCTCTGAACACAGTAGGCCCTTAAGTGTTTGTCAGTCAGTCATAGATTTTAAGCTGCAAAGAATGTTAGAGACTATATAGTCCAACTCTCTAATTTTAACATATAAAGAAACTGTAGCCTGCAGGGGTAATAAAGCTACAACTAAGTAGCTTTGAGATCTAAATCCTGGTCTTTGGACCTCATATTCACTCTACCATGTTGTCCCACTCTGGATTTTACTCTGCTCCCATTTAAAAGAAGTTGAAACTTGATCATCTCCAACATGCCAGGGTCATCTCTGATAAGCAGAGATCATTGTTGAAGACAGGAGGCAGGCTAGGGCATTGGGCAGAATCTGTTCTGACCCTACGATTTAACCTAGAAATTGAAGTTCCTCAAATTATGTGCTTTCCTCACAGCAGTCTCTTGAGTTGGGTTGGTTGGCAATTATTGCAAGTGTTATTATGTTTATTTTACAAATGAGGAAACTGAGGCCCAGATCATAGTCAGTGTTGATTTTATTTATTGTATCATTCTCTCTCACAAGCTACTTTGTATCCTGTTGTTCTGATTCCAAGAGTAGTACCACCTATCTTTGTGCTATTGAATTGAGTAGTTCAATGTGCATGGACTTTGAAAAAAAGAAATCTCTAAGGCCTAGGGAAAAGAAGGAATAGAAACTTGGTGAGGAGCTAGTGGTGAGCTTTTCTCTGGGTTTCTCCAATTTCACCCTGACTCACCCTCTGGCTATCAGTAAGGAACTGGGCCAGTTACCCAGTTCCAGAAGTTGGGTCAGAAAGGTATTTCCAAACACTGCTGCTAATTTTAGTTAGTAAAATTAACTTGGTTTTTAGAAGACGGGAAAATGTGAATCTGGTCACAGAATGTCAGAACTAGAAGGGTAAGTACCTTAGTCTTTCAAGTCTTTGTTAAGCAACTACTTTGTGCAGTGGCCCCTCATAGTTTTGGATACTAAGACCTATGTCCTACTTTCAGAGTACTTACTATTTTAGAAAAGCACCAGCCACTGTTTACTTCACTCGTTCCCTTCTGGCCATCTCTTCCACAGTCTCCCTCCCCACCTACTTCCTTCAGTTAATTATTGTTGATAATTTTTGATTAAATTGATTAATTGTCGATCAAATCTACCCTGTTATTGCTACTAGATATGATGTGTCAGTATGCTCTGCCCTAGATCCCACTCCCCACCTTGGGACAATAAGTCCAAAATGCCCTTTCCTGGCTACTACTCCAATATGTATCATTTCCCTCATTAGAATATAAGTTCCTTGAGATCAAGGACTATCTTTGCTTTTGTATTATCTCTAACCCTTAACATAGGACTTGACATATAGTGTTAAATAAATGCTTTTTTCATTCATTTACTTCATAAACCTTACTCCTTTCCTCACACCTGCCATTCACCTGCAATACAATGTTGTTTTTTTCTCCTTGAGATCTGGAAAATAATAAACACTAAAGAATAGAACTGGAAGGATCTTCCATATCATCTAATTGAACTCTCATTTGATGGATAAGGGCACTGAGGCCCAGGGGAGAGATAGGTTTAACCCTAGGTAACCCAATTGGCTTTAGCTTTGGAGCAGAGACTAGGACCCTTACTTCCTGCTTAGTGTACATTCTACCATTTCTACCATACCAAGACTGCTGGTTCACTCGTTTGTTTAGCAGATATTTACTGTGGGGTGTGTGTGTGTGGGTGTGTATACACATATACTAGATGTTGAGCAAAACTTAGAACTGTATAGGCTGTCTATAACCAATGCAGATACTAGGTATTAAATAAAACACAGCTCACACACAAATATCCACACACATATTGTGACAGGGTGTGACTTATTAAGGCAGTAGAGAGAGCAAGGTGGTAACTGACAGCCCTCCACTGGAAGTGATAGTAAAAATCTAGAAAGGATTCCAACAGGAAGGAGGGAGCAGAAAGAGTACCTGTCTTTCTCTTGTACAACACCGTCTCCCCAGAGGGCAGTCAGGCCTACAATTCCACAGCTACAACCACTTCTGCCACAAGTGGCCCGTGCACATGCCTTTTTAAAGGCAGCATGGTGTAATAATGTAAAGGGTAGTAGACTGAGTCAAGAAACCTGGGTTCAAATCCTGCTTCAGGCACTAGCTGTGTAGCCCTGAGCTAGTCACTTATCCTCTCTCAGATTCAAATTTCCTCTTCTGTAAAATGAGGGGACTGGCCTCAATGGTTTCTAAGGTCTTTTCCAGCTCTAAATTTATGATCCTGTAACTCCACCCTCTGGGGCCCTCATTCCAGAGCAAGAGAAGTTTTTTGAAAAGCATCGACTCTTGGGGCAGCTAGGTGGCGCAGTTCATAGAGCATTGGCCCTGGATTCAGCAGGACCTGAGTTCAAATGCTGCCTCAGAGACATAACACTTACTAGCTGTGTGAACATGGGCAAGTCACTTAACCCCATTGTCTAGCCAAAAAAAAAACAAACCAAAAAAAACAAAGAAAAAAAAAAGCATCAACTCTTTACAGATAAGATAACTTAGATTTCAGGAGTCAGGGACTCTCTGGCTCTTAGATTTTTTTTTTTTTTCCCCTTAAGCAATTGGGGTTAAGTGACTTACTCAGGGTAACACAGCTAGTAAGTGTTTGGCCTAAGGCAGGATTTAAACTCAGGTCTTCTTAACTTCAGGGCTGATGCTCTATCCACTGTGCCACCTAGCTGCCCCTGGCTCTTAGATCTTAAGAGACCATCTCTTCAAATCCTGTCATTTTACAGCTGCAAAAGTGAAGCCTGAGAGATTGACTTATCTAAGATCACACAGATAAGTAGACTGTCCAAATTCAAACCCAGTTCTCCATCTATAAATGCTTTTTCAACTGGACTATACTACTCCTATAATCCAGGCCCCTCATTTTATTGATTGATGTGGAAATCAAGGACCAGAGAAACTAATCTCCTCACAGAAGTCACTGGCCAGTAGAAGGAGTCAGAAGACATGGATATGAGTTCCAGCTCTGCCACTATCTGATTGTTCCACCTCAGATCTAAGACCCCTTCCAATTCAGTCAGTGCACATTTATTAAACCCCTTCTATATTCCAGGCTCTGTGTTAAGCAATGGAGATACAAAGAAAGGCAAAAGAAAATGTATGATCTCAAGGGAGTCTCACAGGGGAGAGAGCCAACATGCAAAAACAGTCAAGAGAGGGAAGGCCCTAGCATTAAGGGGGAACCAGAAAAGCTTCTTGTAGAAGGTGAGCCATTAGCTTTAGCTGACAATCTTCCAACCATAATGCTCTGTGGTTGCAAGGTTTTGTGAGTCAGGTTCTAAGGTTCTGAACTATTCTAAGAGTCTGAGTCAAAACCCAAATGGTGCTCTAACTCCATAGCATCCTCACTCTAGGACTTGTACATACTTCTTAGTCCCTCAGCTCCTGTCATTATTTCATCATTTTTATCCCCTTATGCCAAATTGTGTTATTAATATGCATGAACCTGTTATCCTCTGTCTCCAGCCCAGATGGGACTCTCTCCTTTTCAGACTCTGCCAATATGTGTGGCAATACTACAGCTTTTGGACTTCTTGGGTCAGTTTGTCCTTGAGTTGGGGTTATCTCAATCAACAATTGCAGATAAATTTTAATCAACTAAAGGTTGGTCATCTTCCAATTTTTTTCTTTCAAATGCACCAAATCACTTATTCAGAACCAATCAAACCTCTAAGTCAAATTCCCTTAAAGCATGGTCCCAGAGAGTCCCAAGTCTTAGATTATATCTGTTACCTTTGTAACAGATAATGATTGAAATGACCAGGGCATTGACTGAGGTTTCAAGAGGTTTCTTGACTGAGGTTTCTCAGTGGTAGAACACATGCTTTGCCTGTAGGGGTCCCTGTGTTCAACCTTTGCCCTCTGGGGAGACAGTGTGGTACAAGAGAAAGAGAACTGAATTTAGAGTCAGTGGACCTGGGTTCAAATTCTGGCTCTATACCTTACTACTTGTGTACAAGTCATTTTCCATCTCTGACCTCAGTTTCTTCATCTGTAAAACGAGGGGTGGAATCAACTGACCTCTAAGGGACCTTCCACATCTAGAATTCTATGAGTCTCTGGTTTTGATGACATAACTAGACATGCTGGGATTTGTAGCAATGTGGTTTGACCTGCCTTTTAAATTTGCCATCTCCTCTTGATGCCAGGAGGAACAGAGATATAGGGATAAGGGTCTGGGGGCAGTTGGGGAGTCTTGTTTTGTTCTCAGCAGCTAGAAGTGAGGCATTGTCCCTTGTTGGAAAAATCCAAGGCGTTGCCATTCTCCTGATGGTTTGTTCATTTCAGCTGCTCCCAGCTCTCTGCTTTATTCTTGGCTTTCGCCCACTCTCCCTGGCAGCCTGCTGAGCAAGGGGGCTCAGAGAGAGGGGGAGGGGTGCATTTACAGAGCTCATTTCATCCTTAGAACCACCTCTGCAAAGGGGAGGCTGAGAGGGATCGTTCCTTTGGCAGGACAATGAGTTTATGGTGATTCTGACACTCAGAGACTATCAGACTATCATGGGGAGCTCTGATGCTCTAGAATAGTCAGCTAGACTGTTAAATCATGAGACTTGAATCCTTAGCTCAGTCACTAATACATTGTGACGTTGGGCAAGTCACTGGATCTCTCCTTGTATCTGTTTTACCATATTTCAAATTGGAATACTAATCCCTGTTTTGACCCTTTCACAGTATTTGTAGGATCTTTTATATATATGTATATATATATTTATAAAACCAGAAGGGACTGTAGGGTATGTAGTCCAACTGACTCATGTTTTTTTAGCACATGAAGAAATTGAGTCCCAGAGTAAATTACAGAACTAGGATTCAACCTCAAGAGCTCTGGTGCCAAATCCATCACTCTACACTACTATGCTGAAATATTTAGGCAGCTAGGTGGCACAGTGGATAGAGCATCAGACTTGGAGTTGAGAAAATCTAAGTTCAAACCCAGCCTCAGTCACTTAGTACCTTTATTACCCTGGATGATTCACTTAACTTCTATTTGCCTCAGTTTCTTCATCTATAAAATGAGGATAATAATAGTACCTACCTCAAAGAGTTGTTGTGAGGATCAAATGAGCACGGTGCCTGGCCCATATTAAGTGCTTTGTAAATGTTAGCTATTGTTTTTATTATTAACTATTAAACAGGCAGTTAGATGGCTTAGCGGATAGAGCAATGGGCCTGCAGTCAGGAAGATCAGAATTCAAATCCAGATTCAGACACTTACTAGCTGTGTAACCCCAGGCAAGTTATTTACCCCCTTTATCCACTGGAAAAGGAAATGGCAAACCACTCCAATATCTTTGCCAAGAAAACCGCACAGACAGTGGGGCATGTTATGGTCCATGGAGTTGCATGTGACTGAACAACAATTAAACAGAAGCAGGAATGTGATATTATTGTGGCATAGTGGATAGAGTGTTGGACTTCAATGTCAGGAATACCTGAGCTCAGATTCTGCATTTAATCATCAATAAGTAATTTTTTATGCACCTACTATATGCTAGGCATTGTGCCACTAAGCACTGGGGATACTAAAAACGGCCGAAAAACAGTCCCTGCCCTCAAGGAGCTCCAAATATAATGGGGGAGACAACATGTAGACAAATATATACAAATATGCTGTATACAGGATAAACAGGAAATAATTAACAGACAGAAGGCACTGGAATGAAGAGAGATTGGTAAAGGCTTCCTGTAAGAGATAGGATTTTAATTAGGATTTAAAAGAAGCCAGGGAAGTCAGTAGGCAGAGTTGAAGAGGGAGAGTATTACAGGCATAGGGAACAGCCAGAAAAAATACCTGGAACAGAAAGATGGAGTATCATGTTCATGGAACAGCCAGGAAGCCAGTGTCCCTGTGTTGAAGAATATGTGATGGGGAGTGAGGTGTAAGAATATTGGAAAGGTAGGAGGAGGCTGGGTTATGAAGGGCTTTAAATGCCAAACAGAGGATTTTGTAGTTGATCTTAGAGGTGATACGGAGCCACTGGAGTTTCTTCAATAGGGAGGTGACATGGTCAGACCTGCCTTTTGGTGGGTAGCTGAATGGAGGAATCAGCTTTGGTAGCTGAGTGGAGAATGAATTGGAGTAGGGAGAATTTGAGGCAGGCAGACTCAAGGCTATTGTAATAGTCCAGTTATAAAGTGTGAGTGGTGAGGGTGTCAGGAAAAAAGGGAGCACATTCGAGAGATGTTATAGAGGTGAAGCCAACAGACCTTGGCCAAGATGGGGGGGGGGGGGGGGGGGGGGGGGAGGAAAGGGGGGGGGACGGGGGGGGGGTGGAGGTGGGGAGGAGGGAGAGGGGGGGGGGGGAGGGGGGGGGGGGGGGGTGTAGTAGGGAGAGATAGCGAGGAGTACAGGATGACTTTTAAGTTTCCAGCTATGGGGGATAGAAGGGACAAGGAGGGTGGTTTTGCCCTCAACCGTAATAAGGAAAGTAGGAATGGGAGAGAGTTTAGGAAGAAAGATAGTTCCATTTTGTAAATGTTTAGTTTAAGATTTCTACTGAACATCCATTTCAAGATGTCTGAAAGGTGGTTGAAGATGTGAGATTGGAGGTCAGCAGAGAGGTTGGAACAGAATGAGTAGATCTAAGAATCATCAGCATAGAGATGGTAAAGAAGTCCATGGGAGCTGATGAGATCACCAAGTGAAGTATTATGGAGGGAGAAGAGAAGAGGACCCAGAGGGACAGAACCCTGAGGGACACTCAACAGTTAGAAGGTGTGATCTGGATGAGGATCCAACAAAGGAGAAAGAAAAAGAGTGGTCAGGTAGGTAGGGGGAAAACCAGGAGAGTATTGTCCTGGAAATCTAGAGAGAAGAGAGTATCAAGGAGAGGGCACTCAACAGTGTCAAATGAGGGATCAAGGAGAATGAAGATTGAGAAAAGTACTTAGTATCTAGAAAGTACCTTTCTTACTAGCTGCATGACCCTGAACAAGTCACCTAACCACTCTTGGCTGAAGTTTCTTCACTTGGAAACCTTATGGGGTTGTTGTGATGGTCAAATGAACTAATGTATGTAAAGTGCCTTGCGAACCTTAAAGGTGCTATTAGTAATAGTAGCATTTTATAATGCTATGTAAACATAAAGAGAGATCAGAAATAATAATAGTATGACCATAATAATAATAATAACTAGCATTTATATAGTGGTTTAAGTTTGGAAAGCAATTTACTCATTTTATCTCATTTTATCCACATGACCACCTTGGGAGATGGATATGATTATGACCATTTTACAGATGAGGAAGCTTAGACAGACAGCAGTTAAGTAACTCACACAACTATACTTTGAATGCTCCTAATACTCATACCCTAAATCAGAAGGTAAACCCTGCTGAGGGCTCTTACTTGGTAGCACTCCCATCAGATGGCAAGTATTAGATAGTGTAACCAGCCCTGAATTTCCTCCTATTGAATTTCATTTTCTCTCTTCTCTTTTTAGAACCGTATGATAGGAGGTCGAAACTGGAGAGCCGTCCAGGACATGCAGAGATACAGGCGTCGATACCCAGTGAGTCTTTGAAGCCTCTTTTTCCTTTCGAGGCAATTGTTGTCTTGATATTATTTTCTTATTGCCACAGCCACTGACTTAGAGTTAGGAAAGCTTGGGTTCAGATTTCATGCGAGGGATCACCATGAACACGTTCTTCAATCGTCTCTAGGAAGATGACTCTAACACCTCTATGTCCAGCCCTGATCTCTTTTCTGAGCTCCAGTCACACATTCCCAAGCACCTCTTAGACATTACTCTCTTCCACAAACCTGCCCCTCTTGTTCTTCCTCACATACGACAGTCCATTTCCTATCTTTGTGCTTTCTAACTGGCTGTCCCCGGGCCTGGGCAACTAGGTGGCTGACGTGGATAGAATACTGGGCTTGGAGTCAGGAATACCTGAGTTCAAATTCAGCTTCAGTCACTTAGTAGATCTGTGACCCTGGGCAAGTCACTAAACCTCATTTGCCTCAGTTTCCTCATCTGTAAGATGAGCTAGAGAAGGAAATGGCAAACCACTCCAGCATCTTTGGCAAGAAAACGCCAAATGGAGTCACAAAGAAGAGTCGACACAACTGAAACCAATGAACAGCAACGATGACATGTCTGGAATGCAAATGCATCTCTTCTCTGTGTCATAGAATACCTTGTTTCCTTCAAAATTGTGCTCAAGGGACACATTTTACATAAAGCCTTGCTTGATCCACCCAGCCACTCATACCTTCTCACCACAAAGTGACAACCACATGTACACGTACTTCTGTGTTTGTTGTCTCCCTTGATACAATGTAAGTTTCCCACTTCATTTTTGTCTTTGTATCTTAGGAGCCTAACATAGTGCCTGGCACATGGTAAACGTTTTTGAGGCATGACATTAGGTGCCCCAAGTGCTAAACTTGGAGTCAGGAAGACCTGCCTAGCTGTGTGACCCTGAGCAAGTCATTGATTCTCCCTAAGCCTTAGGTTCCTCACCTGTAAAATGGAGATAATCAAAGCACCTACTTCTAAGGATAACTGTGAGGATCAAGTGAGATAATTCATGCAAATCATTTTGCCAACCTTAAAGCACTATGTACATGCTAGCAATTATTAATGTTTGGATGCTTCTGCTTCTCTGAACCTCAGGCAAACTTCCTAAGGCTTTAAGGAAGTTATAAACTAGCTATAATCTGCATCTCAGAGATTGTTCCCATACCAAGAGTTCCCACAAAATAACAGGTACTTGACGGGTGGATGGATTGCCATGATTTCTGGAAGCATAGGCCAGTTAGAGCAAAAAAGCAAAGATGGCAAGAGTGAACCAAGAGGCTGGATCACTGGGCCCAATATCCCAGTGGACTGACCCAGGTCCTGCTGATTCTCCCTCCTGACTCCCTTCTCAAATTGCACATGAAATAGCTTCTAGTACTCTCTCCTTCAAATTGTCTTGTATTATATTTGTCTCTACATAGGTACTGTTTCCCCCAGTAGAATGTAATAGGCCCATGGTAAATGTTTGTTGAATTGATGCCTAATTCTAAAGAGAAATGAGAGAAATAGTAGAAAGTGTGTGGTAATTTACCAATCTCTTAATATTTTTTTGTTCTTATAGGGTTTGACAGATAACGAGTCCAATGATGAAATGCTGAATTTGAAGTTTTATAAAAACGAAATTGCTTTCTTGCCAAATGGTATGTATCTAACTCAACTCCAACAACCTATGACCCTACACTGACACTGAGTCCCCTTCTTGAGATCCCTGTCTCAGTGGTTCAGTCAGCCATGGTTTTGTTAAAGCACCTACTCTGTGTCTTTAAAAGTAGTAAAGCTTGTTTGCCTGTTCATTTTTATTCACTTTTCCTACCTATGCTTTCTGAGTCCCAGGACCAGTGACAGTTTCCTCACTTTCACTTGTCATAGACAAACAGAAGTGTGAGTTGCTTTTTTTCCCCCTAGTAACTTGTGTCAGCTGTTCTACTATAGATTACCATTAGTGTTAGATTTTTGTGTACTTTGGAAGAGTAGCATAGCATTACCTTTTTAAAATTATGAACTTAATCATGAAAAAACGCAAACATTACAGTAGACAAAGAATAAAGAACCTTGTTATGTATGTTTCATTTTGTAATGTCTACATTATATTTAACAAGAGAATAATACAATAATGAGAGAAATGCAGATTAAACAACTCTGAGGCTTCACCTCACTCTAGTCAGTTTGGAAAAGATGAGAGGAGAGGCATACTAGTGACTTTCTGATGGTGCTGTGGATTGGTCCAATAATTTAGAATTATACCCCCAAAGTCACTAAACTGGGATAATTCTCAATTGAACATACCAAAAACTATGAAAGCCTGAAAACATTTGGCAAAAAAGATTCTTTTCCCAATTTTAAAAATTTTCACAGGCACCCAAAAAAGCCCAGCTGTTCTCTGAATCTTTCTGGGCTATCATAACTCTAGATACCAACATAGTAAGGCACCATGGGTCTAGCTGATATGGACTCTGCTGTGTAACTTCTTGGTATTTGTATGTATACCCCAGGCTATTTTATTGAGGACATCCTGAAGAACTGGAAGGAGGACTATGACATCCTGGAGGACAACCACTCTTACATACAGTGGTAAGTGAGGTGACCTATGCACATGATGGAAGAGGGAGGTTGTTTTGTTTTGTTAAGACTGGGTTGCCCCATCTTATCCAGGCTAGAAGTTCAGGGACTACTCATGGGCCCAATCCCACTCTGGCATGGGCACTTTACCTGCTCTGTTTCTGACCCTCCTTAGACAACCTGTGGCACTGTCCTCTCTACCACCTCCTGAGAGCTCACCCTATTAATGCCAACCTTAGTGCATATGCCTGGCTAGCTTAATCCACTGTAGCTCAGCTCCCGAGCTCGAGATCCAGGAGCAAAGATTACCAACACACCTAACTGGAGGCCTTTTGACATTACCAGGGTACCATCACAGTGCAATGCAGCCTCCTCCATTAATCTCTGTTTCTTGACCAATTCACCTCCTTTATCCAGTCAGACATTTCCCTAGCAATATGGAAATGATAGCCATTTTAATTTAATACTAATGATATTTCACTTTTCATGAATGTTTTATAGTTTTCTCACCATACAGTTATCCCTTCCACCTCGAGAGGGGTTAGGGGCATGACACCAAGATCTGGAAAATTTTTTGGCCCTCCCTTCATACCAGAAAAGAAGTCTGAATTATTATGGTATTAAAAGAGAAAATGTTGGTATTATACAATACTATACATATATTTTGTATATGATATTTCTGAGTTTCTAAACCTTTTCCGTATTCTCTGCTGGCCCTTGTGTGTCATCTGTGGCTTCCACAAAACTCCCCAAAAATCCCATTTAATTTCTTATGTCAACTAGCGATATATTGAAACCACGATGTGGAAGGGATAACTGTATTCTACACAAGAATTCTGTTAGTTATGTAATATGAATATTATTAGCTCCATTTTACAGATAAGAAAATTGAGGTTCAGAAAGAGTATAAGTATTTGTCCAGTAGTCATACACTTACTACTATTCCCAAGATCTCCCTTGGTCAGTAGTGGTATCATCTCTTTATGTGAACAGTTCTCATTCTTTCACCTTGGTAATCACACACAGGAAGGATTACCCAACATTTATTAATCATTTAACTGTATAGAGAGTACAGTGTTACCCTAGGCACAGGGGGAAATAGGGTAGACTTGTTCCACATCCTTGTGGAGCTGCTAGTCTTGCAGGAAGAATAACTTATGAGCATAGATGACTAAAAATGTAATGAGTACAACATGCCTGTGAAGTTAGAAAGGGAAGGTCATTAACAGTCAAGGAGGTGGTATTTGAGTTGAGTTGCAAAGGAGAGGTAGGGTTTTAACAAGGAGGGTGAGAATGAGAACATTCCAGGTGTACGAAATGAAGGCTGAAGGTACCAGGGTAGGAAAGCACAGGCTGTGTATGGAAGAGAGAGAACAATACCATTATAGAAAGTGAGTGCCCGTGAACCTGTTCACAGAAAGCAAGTGCCCTCCTTGACTCCTCATGCTGTAACTTGGCAAGTCTGTGGAATCCGAGTCAGCAGTCCATAGCAGTGATCCATTCAGAGCCTCCTCTTAGAAGGTTTAATTGTAGCTCCTTGTCTTCCTCCCTTCCCTGCCCCCTACCCCTTCACATGTAACTTTGGATGACTTTGCAGTTATGTTTCCCCTTCAGGTTGTTCCCTTTGCGAGAGAGGGGAGTGAATTGGCACGCGAAGCCCCTGACACTCAGAGAAATCCAGGTAGGGCGTTTCTGTGAGATGTTCATGTTTCTTTAGCTCTGGAAGAAGTGATTAGAGAAGCTGACCCTCGGCTCTTGGAGAGAGAGAGAGAGAGAGAGAGAGTGTGAGTGTGTGTGTGTGTGTGTGTGTGTGTGTGTGTGTGTGTGTGCAATTGTAAGTGTCACTTACTGGCTTGATAAAGGAAAAGCACTGGCTGAGTACACACTAATGATTCTCAGCACAATCTTATTTGACAAAAGACTAGTTTTTAAAGCAATCCGTGTCCTCTGCCCAAAAGAGATGTGGAAGGTTCCCTGGGTAGAGTTGTTGAGCCAAAGAAGCCCATTGTATGGCAAGGGGGAAAGGGTGGAAATTAACCTTTATCAGGTATTCTTAGATGGAAAGGTAAACATGGAATCCAGGAACTCATCCTGTGGTCCTAAGAAGGAAAGATTTATAGCATATTCTGAAACATTATTGCTTCCAAATTGGTAATGATTCAGATGGGTTAGATTGAAATATGCCCTTGTACTACTACCTGTGAGGAATGGGTTTGCTAAGGAGTTCAGTGTATGTGAAGGAACTCTTTTTAAGTACTTTAGGAACATCCACTCATGGGTAGTTTAAACAGTGCATGGGTGATCCTTATTCACCAGAGTAAGAGCACTTAGCACTAAGAAGATCTGGATTAGAAACCTGATGTTTCCATTTGCTAGCTGTATGAGCAGGACAAGGCATTTTACCTCTCTGGACCTCAATTCCTTTACATGTAAAATGGGGTGATAATCTTGTATTACCTATATCACCAGACTGTCAAGAGGATCAAGTGAGATAATGCTTTGTAAATGTTAGAACACTGTAGAAATGTCATCTGTGGTTGTTGTTGATGTTGTTGCTGTTATTAATTTTACTCAGTCTCACAGCCAGTATACTAATTACAAATAACTTTACGTTATATAACATTTGTTAGATAACACTTTGTTGAGGATGAGTTGCTGAATGGACTTAAAGAAATTCTTTTATTGCATTTAACAGTATTATACAAGCCTGACTTTTCACTATTCCAGGCTGATTCATCCAAGTTAGGAAGTTCATCCAAATTAACATGTTTGTCATAAAACTGAGTTATCTTTGTTGATCTAAATTTCAAAACAAATGTCTTCAGAATTTGTATTTGGCAATAAGTTTTCTGATCTTTATTGGAAAGAGTCCTGGGTTTATAGTGTGAGGATCTGGATTCAAATTCCTGGTTTTGACTGAGCCAATCTATTCTCACTCTCCCTCTCTCTCTCTCTCATCTATCTCAGTTCCTCCTATTTAAAATAAAGCATTGGACTAATGAACCCAACAGGAAGGATTTATCATCTGCCTACTATAGGCACTAGGGATACAAAGTAAAAAATGAAACTATTTCTTCTCTCAAGGAGTTTACATTCTATGGGGGTGTGGGTGGAGGGAATAGAGAACATTTAAATCTATACAAAATAAATACAGAGTAATTAAGCTGGGGGAGAGGGGGGAGATACCAGCTGCTAGGGAGATCTGGAAAAGCCTCATGTATGAAAAGTGTTAGAGCTGAGCTTTGAAGAAACCTAGGGTCCTAAGAAGTAGAGACAGGGGGAAATCAATGCATGAGAGATAGTTTGTGACCTTTCTGACTCAAGCTAGATCTATGAACTTGTGATAAATTTTCTTCACGTAAAGGGAAAATGGGGGATATCCAACTCTGGGAGCTGTTGGCATTCATCCTAATAGAGAAGGGGGCTTATATGTTCCAGGAATTTAAAAAATCTGCAGAGGTCATGAGAAGATTCGTCCAAGCATATGAACTCATTCTGGGCTTCTATGGAATTGAACTGGAAAATCACAAAACTGGGAAAGTGAGAAAGGCTGACAACTACCAGGAGAGATTTCAGAACCTCAACTCGTAAGTCTTTGAATCTGGTGGCACTTACATATCCTTGTCCCTCCTTCCTCTCCTCTTCTAATCTCGAGGTGGGGCTGTTATAGAGCAGAATTTCTAATTACGCAGTATGGTGTGCTCTGGTTAATTCTCCAAATTTAATCCTGCTCAGAGAAAAAACATTTAAGTTATCATTGGCAGTAATTGCCCAGCAGTTCATAAATTACCTTAACGTAGAAGTATTCTTATCCTAATTTTACAAATGGGGAAACTGACATTAAGAGACTTATCCAAGATCACATAAACTGCTAAGTAGTAGCAACAGGACTCTGCTTCCATAGTCAGGGTTCTTTCCAATATACTATATCCAATATACTAAATCTAGATTTGGGCCTGCATTTACGCTGCAAATGCCTGGAATATGGAAAGAACACCATATTTGTCTTAGAGGTTCTGAGTTCAATTCCCATCACTAATGCTGTTTGAACTTGGGAATACAGAGTATATGATTGGAAGTAATAAGCCAGTAAAGGGAGGCTGGAATCATTGAATACCAAACAGGCATTTTTATTTGATCTTAGAGTCAAGAGGGAGCCACTGACCCCTAATTGAGAAAGGTAATAATATGGTTAGAAATATATGGTAAGTATCATTCTGGCAACTGTGTGAACTGGCTAAAGAGGTGACACACTTGAAGTGAGGGACATCAGTTAGAAAGCTGTTGCAGTTTTCCAGATAAGGTTAGTTAACCACCAGAACTAGGGTGGTAACTATACAAGAGGAGAGAAAGGGACAGGTGTCTCTTGGGAAAAATCATTTCTCTGAACCTCATCTTCCCCCTGAAAGATGAAGGGATTGGATTAGTTATCTCTCATATCCCTTCTAGCTCTAAATCCCTTGGTCCTATGACAATTGGCTTAAAGCAGAAACACATTCCACCTTCGTCATTTCTGTGTATCAATTAGACTGTCCCCATTTGTGACTGGGACCCCACAGTGGAGGGATAAACAGTAGGATAGAGATTTGTTTCTGGTTAGCATCATACCCCTGCCACAAAGCAGGGACAGCATGTAACATAGCAGTATTAACACTTTAAACCCAAACATTTAGCTAACGTTTATTAGACACTTCTCATGTGCAGAGCAATCCAAGGCCCCTAAATTATGCCTCATCTCAGGCATGGCCCTTGTTATGGTGTCTGTGCAGCTCTGGTCAGTGCTTTGGGAAGAACTTTCTGTTAACATGTGGAGTTTTATCCTGTCTTCCAGGCACAGTCACAACAACCTTCGCATCACTCGAATCCTGAAGTGTCTGGGCGAGATGGGCTATGAACATTACCAGGTGCCCCTGATCCGTTTCTTTCTGGAAGAGATCCTTGTTAATCGTTGCTTGCCGAGTGTCAAGCAGAGTGCCTTGGATTACTTTATGTTCACAGTCCGGAACAAGAAGGAGCGCAGAAAACTTGTCTACTATGCCTGGAAGAATTTTAATCCCCAGTATAAATTTGTCTGGGGGCCACATGAGAAGCTTCAGAGATTCGAATCAGGACAGCAGGACTGTCTTGAAGAAGAGGGTTCAGGTGTATCCCAAAATGATGTTGGAATAGAGAAAGACCAAGTTAGGACTCAGGTGAGAGAAGAGATTGTAGGGGATGGCGTTACCTCTAAAGACAAGCAGATGGGCAAGAAGAACCCCAGTGCCAGGCTGCAGAGTTGTGAGATGAAAAAGGGAGAAAGGTTGAATTCATCTGACCAGAAGGAGGAGAAGGTTGCAACCAAGAATGCTGGAGACCAAGCACCAAGGCCTCAGAGTCCAAAGGAAAGTAAGAAAAGGAAATATGAGGTGAACAGACTTGAGTTCAGGCAAGAGGAGCAAGGCCAAGGCACCTCTGATGTGGAGAAGATTGCCCATAACCTGGAAGAGTGTGCCCTTGGCCAGAGCGAGCTGAGGACCTCTAGAGGATCTAAGGAAATGGGGAGCCTGGACTTGCCAAGGGAGAGGGGACCATCTAGTCCTGAGTCCATGGAGATTAAAATGTATGATGAGGTGAATAAGAGGAGGAGGATTGAATCGAAAGCACCAAAAAACCATATAGAGACAGCAAAGAATGTGGAACAAACCCCAATCTGCTTCCCAATACCCAATGGTATTCCCCATGAAGCCGAGAAAACAGAGGACAAGAGCAACATTAGGTGGGAAGCCAAAAGCCTACAAGCAAAGACTGTAAAACATGATAATATACCTGTAGCTTCATCTGGAAATCCCTCGGGTGACCCCTCCAGCATCAATACATCTCCTGAGCAGTCAGACCTGCAAGAATATGTTCACATTGAAAAAAGAAGTGTTGATACAAATCCTGAACTCAAGAGACCTGATCCCGGAGAGGCAGCAGGTGCTGAATGTTCAGATGGAGAAGTCCCACAAAAGGCAGGAGATGAAACCACAGTTGAAAGGCCTTATTCTGAGTAAACAGTGAGTCACTGAATCACAGATAGGCAAGGAAGGAATTCAGGACCCTGATCCTATGGGATGGGATTCTGCAAGATTCTGAGGTTCTCAGCACCTTTTAAAGGTATTCTTCCATGGACATCTTTTGGACAAATTGGTTGAGATCCCTCAGCTTATGAGTTTTTAACCTGTAATGGTACCTGAAGTTCAAGGTAGAAGGAAGACAGATGTCATGGAACTCCTTTGTTCGTTCTGCCATAGAGTCCTTCCCTGGCTGCCTCTCTTTGCCTGATCACATTTACAATGAGCTGTGGGGAAACTAAGAAAACAAATGATGGGTACCATTCTGGAAGAAATACTGATAGATTTTGATAGGAGTAATTTAAGACTTTGAAATGCAGGTGATCATTTTGATAAGGGGGAGGAGGGTGTGTATACATCATTTTAATTCACATCCTGTAACAATATCCCCACTTCCTTTTTATCCAGGGGATGGTAAGTGTGAATTTCTTAGCCCCTTGTCAAGGCATTTTTTTCTGAATAAAGTCATCACTTTGAACTTTTGTTGAGGATAAAAGGCCTAGCTAGATAAGTAGCTGGCTCCTCTCTTTCCTTATGAAGGAATTTTCATTGGACTTTTTTTTTCCTCTTGACTTTTTACTAAAAGTGACTTCTTCCCATCGCAGTGACTTGCCTTACCCAAGTTGGAAATCTAGTCCTCAGCCTGGTTAGCCTGAGGAGGAGGGAAGAAGAAGCTGTGGGAAGACCTAGACGATAGTGTCCCATGCAGACACTTGGCGCTGCTCTTTGTTTCTTCCCTGTTGGCTGCAGAACTTTATGAGGCATCTGCTTTTCCACTTTTCTCAGTGGCTCAGGATTCTTTCTTGAGTTCTTTTGTTTCATTTTATTTTAAGACCCAGAATAGGTCATCTGTCCCTTGCAAGTCTTCATAGTAAAGACAAGCTCCTTGTCTGTCCTTTGTACTCCTATTTCCCCAAGTAGGGTTAGGCACATCACTAAGGAATTCTGAGATACTCCCTTGACTTTCGGTCACAGCTTGAACCTCTCTGCATGTTCTTTTTTTGATGCCTATTAGATTTCCGTGTATGTACATTTACAGATCCTCCTTTGCCATGTGTAGGTGGAAATATTTACAACAGTGCTATCATCCATTGCTTTGCATTCTTTTCCAGCCCCCTGTAAATTATGTAGAGCCTTCTTCTTACCCGTATGGAATCAGCCAATCAAGTGGAGAAAGCAGGGTTGTTTTTTTTTTTCCCTCTTTCTTCTGGTTTAGCATGGTTAGGGAGAGGGTCTGTATGATATGTGCACTTCTTCCCCACTCTCTTCTATACCTTAATGAACAAGATATCCCTCCTTGAAGGGAAGGGAAAGGAAAAGGAGTGAAGTGGTCACTTCCCAATCTGGGATTTTGAGAGACCCAGCTTGATTTTGCTTCCAGTTTAACATGAAGAGTTAGAGTCTCTGCTCAGGTCTGTGCTCACCAAGTTGCTCCACGACAATATGTAATTTTTCACCTACCTCACAGGGTTGACATGAAGAAAAGGGAAAGAAAGAAAGGTCCCTCAGGAGTCTTCATCGACTCAGCCTTGCAAGCACGTGGCTCATTAGTGCAATGAGTTCTTTACCTCTAATAGCAGTTAGAGGAGTGTCACCATCTTGCAGTGGGGCCAGGGACTTTGGAGCCTGTGATGTAATATTTTCTCTTCCTTGCTAATGTTTGGTGCAATGAAGCTTTCTGTATTGGGGAGCTCATGATATGCACTGGGTTTTGGCTTCCAAAAATGACTAGAACTGTTCTTTCCATTCTGATATTTCTGTCCCTCTCTTATCTCACTTTCTGGCCTCTCTTTCTCTCTCTTCCACTCACAGTGACAAGATTGTGCATTTTCCATAGCAGCTGGAAGGAGAAGCCACCAACCCTGGCCAAGGTTTCTGTCTCAGTGCTCTCCTGGGATGCCTATCCCCTGGTTCTCATTTTCAGTGATGAGTATCCCCAGGGCAAACTTGCTCAGTCTAGTTCAGTGACTAGTTGAGCAAAAGAAATCTCAGAGAGTCAGAAGCTGGATGTTGTGGGTTTTCTTTGTTTGTTTGCAAAGGGGCTATTAAAGTAGAATTAAGATTATTTTCCCATAGCAGGTGTTTGAAACTGGTTCATTATTTTTTTCCTCTTCAAAGTTAATGACTGTGAAAATGGACTGTGTTTTAATAAAAGTGTGATGATTGCCAGCCAGTGTTTCCTGAGATCTGTTCTTATAAGTGAGTACAGTTCTGTTGCTTGTTGGCAGGAGGTTGGAGGAGATACTTTAGAAGCCCATTTGTGGATATTACTTTGAAATCTACTTCCATGGTGACAAATAATAGCATGTAAGTCAGGATCACAGGTTTAGAACTAATTTTGCAGTTGAAACTGAGGCAGATAGGTTTAAAGCAACTTGCCCTGGTCATACAGGTAGTATGTGTCAGAACTGGGATTTGAACCTATGTCTTCTGAGTCCAAAATTATGCAATATTTGTAAAGTGTTTTGCAAACCTTAAAATGCTGCATAAATGCTAGCTATTAGTCAACTAACATTTATTAAGAATTTACTATGTGCCAGGCACTGAGCTAAGTGCTAAAAATATAATTCTAAGTATTATTGTTATTATTCCAGTCCTGGACTTTTACCACTGTACTATGCTGGCTTGCTCTCCGTGTTATTTGAAGTATAAGCTAAGTTGGAGGCAAAGGCAGAGATGATGGTAATATAATATCCCTACAGTTCCTAGCACAGCATTGGTGTTCAATAAATGCTTGATACATAGCACTCAAGGAGAGACAACATGGCATAATGGATGGAAAACTAGCCCCAGAATCAAGGCCTGGGTTCAAGTCAAACTTAACCTAATCACTCCCAACCACTCCCAGACTTACAGAACAATTACTTAGCTGCAGTGAGAGTTCCCCATACCACCAAAGTTTGAACCGTAAGATTATATGTGAGTGTTTCTGTTCACATCTGTATGTAAATATGCAGAGAGCACACTTTGCAAAGCTCTTTACCTATATTATTTGATGCTTCCCACACAGGTGTTCTTATCATTTTACAGGTAAGAAAAAAAGACCTGAAGATGTTGACTAGCTAAGCTCACGTAGCCAGGTGTTTCTGATTCCCAAGTCCAAACTTGATCAACTAAGCCACAATACCTGAAAGAGGTCATTGTTGTTATTCAGTCATGTCCAACTCTACTTGACCACATCGACTTTTTTCTTCATAGCCCTTTTTTGGCAAAGATACTGGAGTGATTTGGTATTTTCTTCTCCAGTGTGCCCTCCTTTTACAGATGAGGAACTGAAGCAAATAGGGGTTAAGTGACTTGACCAGGATCATATAGCCACTAAGTGTCTAAGGACAGATTTGAATTTGGATCTTCCTGACTCCAGGCCCAGCACTCTATTGCACCACCTAGCTGTCCTGGGTGACTATAGGCAATTCATTCAACCTCTGCCCTCCATAAAATGAGGATAATAATAGCACCTACCTCTCAAGGTTATTGTGAGAGTTTGTTTTTTTTTTTAATTGAGATACTTATAAAATTATTTGCAAACACTATAGAAATAGTAGCTCTTTATCTGCAAAGTAAAACTTGGGGATTTAATAAAATGTATATGGTAGTGGTTCTAGATAGTTGTCTAACCCCATCACAAAGAATATATTTGAGCCTCAGGACAACTCTTTGAGATTGATTTTACTTGTATTATCCCTATTTTATGGATGGGAAAGTTAAGTGACTGTGATGGCTACACAGTTATCAAGTACCAAAGGTAGGATTTAAACCCAGGCCCTTCCAGACAAGTCCAGTATTTTATTTAGATTTAGATTCTGTTTAAAGTTGAAAGAGGCTGCTGTAGGGTACCCTGGACCTGGATACACTATGCAGAATGAAGTAGCAGAGAAGCTGATTTAATAATAGGTGATCATCAAAATTGACACTGCTATATTTGATTTGGGCAGCTAGGTGACACAGTGTATAGAGTGCCTGGAGTCAGGAAGACTCCTCCCAAGTTCAAGACCAGCCTCAGACACTTACTAGCTGTGTGACCCTGGGCAAGTCACTTCACCCTGTTTGCCTCAGTTTTCTCAACTGTAAAATGAACTGGAGAAGAAAACAACAAACCACTCTAGTACCTTTGCCAAAAAAAGTCCATGGAGTCATGTAGAGTCTGATGCAATTGAAAAATGACTAAACAACAAATATTTGATTTTGGGAAAAAAGTAAATGTACCCTGAGGTAGAGGTATATGAGGTCAGAACAGTACATTCATCCCATTCACCTGTCCGTTGGACTGCAGTTCATTACATAGATAAGTGTTTGAAGGGGCCCAGTCATCATAAGTGAGTAATTCATTTGTGGAAATTTTGAGAGCTCATTGTGAGACCTTGCTGGTAGGCTAGGGGCGAATCAAACTTCAGGGCTCAGTAGAGTGATGTCTTTTGGGAAGGAAGGCAATTCCAAGTGGTTCAATAGATAGAACACTGGATTTGGAATCAGGAAAGCCTGAGTGTGAATCCTGCCTTAGACACTAGCTAGTGACCCTGGGCAAGTCACTTAACTGCTATTTGCCTCATTTCCTCATCTGTAAAATGGGAATAATAATAGTACCTTCCTCAAAGGGTTGTGAAGATAAAATGAGGAAAGCATTCTGTAAACCTTAAAAGTGCTACATAAATGCTAGCTATAATATTATTATTCTGCCTTTAACTCAGCAAAATTCAATGTAAAAACATTCAGTGCCTACTATACATAAGGTACCATGCTAGGTTCTGGGAATACAAAGACAATAAAACAATCTACCCTCAAAATTTTATGTTTTACTCAAAAGTTCTGCCTCTGCTACCAATAATTTTGAAATTCCTATTTCTGATCACAACCTCCTATCTGTTCATTTCTCCATATGCCTATTCCTTCCTAAACATGTCATCCACCATTGTTATAATCTCCCCAAACTCCACCTTTTCATGAGTTCCCAAATCATCACCTTTCAGTCTTGATCACAAAGTTTTTGCTGTTTAGTCATTTTTCAACCATGTCCCACTCTCTGAGGAAAGAGACTAGAGTAATTTGCATTTCCTTCTCCGGCTCATTTTACAGATGAGGAAACTGAGGCAAACAGGGTTAAGTGACTTGCTCAGGGTCACACAACTAGTAAGTGTCAGGCCAGGACACTTTGAGCTCAGGAAGGAGTCTTTCTGACTCCAGGTCCAGTACTCTATCCACTCTACCACCTAGCTGCTGCCAGATCATAAAATTAGCCAGTCTAACTTTATGCTGTCCTTTGCCCTTGAGTTCCTTGACTTATCAGTTATTGATACTCAACGCCTTCTCAACTCCCTCAGTTGCCTCTCCCCTCTAATTGGAGGCTGTTGTCCTTTGTTTTAGAAGAGGACCACAATTACATCACTGTGCTAGAGTCAAGTTTTAGTGCGTCCAACTGTGGCTGATCAGACCAGTATAAGCTCTGAATGTTCCACCACACAAATAGTCCATGTGAACCTTTGGGGTGGATTCTCTAAGTTTGTATATTTTGCATTTCTCTTGTGCTATTTCAAGTCTACTTTGCTCATAGAGCACAGTACCTTTTCTGATGTGGGCACGCCATGCTGAGCAGTCCTATGCCAGTCTCTCCCATGTCACACAATCAATTTCAAAATTCTTAAGAGAGAACTTGAAAGTGTCCTTGTATTGCTTCTTCTGACAACCATGTGAATGCTTGCCCTGTATGAGCTCTCCATAAAATAGTCTTTTTGGCAAGCATTCGTTTTGCATTTGAACAATGTGGCCAGCCCATTGGAGCAGACTTTGAAGAGTTTGAATGCCTGGCAGTTTAGTTCAAGAAAGGACCTCAGTGTCTGGTATCTTATTCTGCCAGGTGATCTTCAGAATTCTTCCTGAGACAATTCAAATGGAAGCCATTCAGTTACCTGGCATAGTGCTACTAGACTGTCCAAGTTTCACAAGCATAAAACAAAGAGGTCATCACAATGTCTCTGTAGACTTCAGTTTGGTAGTCAGTCTAATACCTCTTCTCTCCCACACTTTTCCTTCGGACCCTCCCAAACACTGAGCTAGCTCTGGCAGTGCATGCCTCAACCTCATTTTCAATGTGTACATCCTTGGAAAGTACACTAACTACCAAGGTAAGTGAACTCATCCACAGCATTCAAAACTTCTCCATTTGCTGTAACCAATGGTTCCACGTATGGATGAAGTGGTGGTGGCTGATGGAGCATCTGTGTTTTCTTGGTGTTAATTGTTAGACCAAAAACAGCACAAGCAGCAGAGAATGGATCCATACTTTCTTGCATCTCAGCTTCAGAGACTGCATTGAGTGCACAATCATCTGCAAACAGATATGCACCAACACTTCCTCAACACTTCTGATTGGAGGGCTGAAGGGTGGAGCACTGATCTCCCAAAGCCTTCCTTTAGAGGACTAAGCCATCACCAGTCTTCTTGACCTTTGTTTTGCCACTGGACTTCCATGACTCTAGAGGAGTGAGTGAGACTGATGTTTTTGCAAAGCTCTGACTCAGTTATATCCAATTCATTCACAAGTCAAGCATCACCTTCTTGATGTCCTCTTCCAGAATGAAGGAATGACAACAACATCAAGAGGTCAGTACTTTCCAGGTAACTCCACTTTCCATCAACAGCTCTTCTCAGTTTCAACTCCACAAAACACAAACTCCACAAAACTCCTTTCACCTGGTACCCTCTGGTCTCTCCCCCTTTTCAGCTTCCTTTTTTTTTTTTGTCTTCTTCCATTAGATAGTAAGCTCTTTGAGGGCAGAGGCTGTCTCTCTTTTTCTTACTTATATCCCTGGCACTTAACACAGTTCCTAGAACATAGTAGGCACCTAAACACTTATTTAATTGAATCTTTGTCCTATCTATGCTTGTCCCTTTCCAGAACCCAACCCTAGATAAGTCCCACCATCTCTACCTGCAAGATGCTAATGTCCAATAGAAGAAGTCACACAACTGGGCTGACCGGATCCACCATAAGTTTGTGTTATGTGACTTCTGTCCTTTACTTGACCCTCATTGACTCTGTTCCATTTCTCTCAGCAACTGTTAGGGACAGGTGTGATGAAAAGAGTGCTGGGCCTGGAGTCAGGAAGACTCATCTTCCTGAATTCAAGTCCAGCCTTAGACACTTATTAGCTGTGTGACCCTGGTCAAGTCAC